GAAAATAACATGTGCTCATAAATTCTCTACTACCACTGCCATATAATTAAGATCTTTAAAAAGAGGCATTCAGGCCTTGGATTGATTTGCCCCAGTCACTCTAGGCTGGGTTGTCCTCTTGTGCCTTAGCTTTTGCCGCTTGCTGTTGAGGAGAGAGGAGCATGCTAAGGATGGTCTTGGAGAACAATCTGCCTTGGTTGCAATCTGGTTTTCTGAGTATTATTAGCATGGGTTTTAACAGAGGAGTGGGAATGAGCTTTTTGCAGAGATCCTTAGTTTGTGAGAGTCTGTTTTGGAGAAGTTAAATGTGTGGTGTTAACAGTGAGGGGGGTGTTTGCTTTGCCTGTAAACCCCCTCCTGCATTCACTGGTTTTATTTTATTAGTGATTCCCTCTCTCTCCCCCCCCCCCGTTTTTTTGTAGTTACTCTTATTCCTTCCTTTCAACTTCATTGGTGTGAAAAACTTTTTAAAGGGAGGTTTGTTTCTGTGTCTTTTGCTGCACGGGGTGGGTGGGTGGGATCTAAGACTCAACAGCCCATATTAAGGGGAATCCAACATTTCTGTGTGAGCGTTAGTGCTGCTGCATTCATTTGGCAGGAAGAACCTGTCACCATTTAGTATTTCTACCATGTTGTTGGCCATTAATGGCTCATTAGGCACGTACATCTTATTACAGATTTCCCAAACAGTAAGCCTTTAAGCTTGATTTCGGATTCTGTGCCTACCTTACGCAACATTCTCTTTCCTCCGGTGTATTTATTCTGAAGTTATAATTTAAAAAAAAAACTTTTCTAAATCGGGGCGAACGTCATTTGTGACATGAGGGGTGGTGGTGGCCAAAGTTTTAAAAAAATTACACAATTGCCCTGTTGCAGTTGCACAGTAGTGTCCAGCAAGCACCTTCCATTTAAATCCTCGTGGTCAGGTTTTGTGCATGCATTTTACTGTTAGGTTGTTGAATGAAAGGGAACAGAAAGAAACAGAGGCAAAGCAGGTAAACCCACTGTTGAAATTGACCAGACTTTTTCTGAAACTGACAAGCTGCTGCAAAGCCTTGTTTTCCATATTGCCAAGCACTATGGGATTCTCTGCTGTGTTATCGGCCACTGTGAAAAATGGGAGTCACATGATCTCATAATATGGGGGGAACATGTTGAGTGTACAGAATATAGGGTAGAACTCACTGACATTGAAGCTGTGATCATTGGCAAAGTGTGTATGTGTGCGCACCTGTGCAAAGTCAGCCGCAACTCCATCATGCTTTGCACAGGGCTGCAATTTGTACGGGGAAGGAGTCCTCTGGTAGAAGCTCCAGAGAGCTTTTTTAGACTTGTGCCACTAAAATGAAAAAAAATTCATTCCCTCCATTGGCTGCGGTCGCTTCCCCCTCCTCCTCTTCCTTTATTCTTTGGTATAATCAACTGAAAGGGAGGACTAAACAATTACAAATTAAAAAATCACTTAGGTTTTTCTGCACCATTTAGTTTTTTCCAGATAGCTACATAAAAGCAAAGGTAAAGGTTCCCTTGCTCGAAAGCCAGTCGAATCCGACTCTAGGGGTGCGGTGCTCATCTCCGTTTCAAAGCCGAAGAGCCAGCGCTGTCCGAAGACGTTTCCATGGTCACGTGGCCGACATGACTAAACACCAAGGCGCACGGAACGCTGTTACCTTCCCACCAAAGTGGTACCTATTTATCTACTTGCAATTTCTTGCTTTCGAACTGCTAGGTTGGCAGGAGCTGGAACTAGAGACGGAGCCTGCAGTTCAGTGTCTTAACCACTTGAGCCACCGCAGCTACATACTTTCCCCCTAAAATTTAGGAGACTTGTGTATTTTGGATCCATGGGCATATGAAATATTGTGCATCTTGATGAGCTGCTCATGTTGCATCTCAATAATATTTATTACCACTTACTCTACAGGTGAAAATCTCAGTGTGAGTAAGGTAGTTATCCCAGTTCCATATATTTCAAAATATTTAAATTTTAAAAAATTGTTGACACATAATTATTTTTCTCCTCTACCACCTTTCATTTTAGGTCCCTTCTGTGTATGATGAGTTTTATGTATATTTTTATTAAATTTATGGGGTGCTCAGTTTGATTTTTATCACTGAGGAAGGCTTCCAGCCAACATTTAGTATTGGTTCTTGTATATGGATATAGTTTGTACCTTTTAACCGGTATTTATACGATTGGACATTTGTTTGTATTAGGATTAGGTACTTATATGCAGAACCATAGAACTGTGGATTTTAAATGGTATCTTAGCACTTTTGAATGTATAATTAAATTATATATGATAGTTTGTACATTAGCACTATGTGCATAGTTATATTTCACTTTCTTTTTCTTTGCCTCAACCAGAAAAGACATCTACATTAATTAAATATCTGGACATGATCCACAGGGTATATGTTGAGTATGCTGGCACTTAGATATGATGGAACGTTCAGGATGCATGCAGCCCTACACCCTGAATTACACTGGACTAATAGATTCAGTAGTTGTGGTCTCAGTGTTTGGGCCCTGCACACCCCTTATTGGGACTATATTTCTATAATGGCCATTTGATTTCAGAAGGTAGTAAAACCAACCTGGTGGGGTCAGTCAGGAAGTCAGTCAACCTTGACTTTTATGCTGGGACCACTGGTGTGCTCAGGGGTGGCCACAGTAATGAGAACAGGAGAATGTCCTAAGGAACCTGAGCTTTTTGAATTTGTTTCCCATAATTGTGGCTATGCTAATTTGGGAGGAGCGGTTTAGGGATGCTACTGTTTTGTTTTGGTGTGATAACCAGGCTGTAGTCCAGGCAGTGAATAGTCAGTCCTCAAGAATCCTAGAGTCATGCAGTCGGTTAGGTCATTGGTTTTGGAATGCACAGAGCTTAATATCTTGTTCAAGGCAAGGCATGCACCCATTCTTGAAAACAGCATTGTTTTCACTATGCACTATCTCATTCTCAGGAGCAGCACTTCAGAGAGCAGGCACCAGGTATGCACCATGGCCTGATTGCCAATGCCAGTAAAACCATGACATCTTGGGAACTTGGCACTTTGCACAAGGATGGCCTAGGGGAAGCAATGGAAGGGGTTTCCAATCTTTTCATGACCAGGACAGTATACTGCAGGTCTGGCCTTTGTCTGTAGAGTATAAGGTATAAGATTAAGGGTTGGCATCTAGAGCTATCAAGGGTTACCTAGCAGCACTGGGATTTAGCTGGGCCTTAGGGATACTTATGCGGCAGCTTAACAGTGTTCTATGAAGCTCTGAGGAGCAGTGAATTGCTGGCAGCCTATTTAATGGACAGCTCTGCAAATGGTGGATTCGAAGCTGACTGCAAGAGATGTTCATATGCTGATGCGTAAATCCATAACTGATCAGCACAGCAGGGGTCCTTGGGACCACAGGTGGCACCCAGCTATGCTTGGTGCAAGTGCTGTCTGAGTTTTGGGTGATAAGGGGCTTGTGCTCAGGCTATGCTTTCCAGCATGCCAACGGTACCCCACTACTCAGTTCCAGTTATGAACGGTGGATAGAGGTGTTTTGGCGGCAGCAGGTTTACTGGCAGCTGAATATGACATTCATTCCACAAAGGTGCAGCACAGACACCAGCCAGCTTTAGAATGCAATGTCTGATCAAGCTATTCAAAGGACGATGGAAGCAAAAGCTTACAAGTCATATATCACATAAGCAGCCTGATTTTATCTTTCAGGTCCAGGAATACTGAGGAGCCCTGTCAGAGAGCTAGTACTGGGGCATTCCACTGTATTCTATACCAGCAGCCACTGGCAGTGGAATTGGGATGCAGCTGGGATTGTACCCCCTCAGCAGTGTGCTGTGGTGTGGTAGAAGAGGGGTGTTGTGGAACCAGCTCCTGCCTTCTCCCCACCAGCTTTTGAGAGAGGGCCGTCATCCTGAGATATTAGGTGAGAATGACCTAGTTTAAATCTAGGGATTCATGCTTAGGCACAGAATAATTAGGGAGTTAAATGGTACGGGTGTAATACCAGGAGTCATGATTACTTGGTATGAGCTTTGCAAATACAGAGTTGGAGGGGAGCAGTTGAGCCCCCAAGGAAAAGCATGGTGCAAGATTGACTTGGCTGTACGAAAGCTGTTTTGGCCAGTTGTGGGGCTTACATTTCACATCAGGCAATCAGATTTAATATGCCTCAACTATCTGATGGATGATGGGGTTCATCTCTGTCAGAGGGTTGTGATTTGTACTTAGCTGATCTACGTCAGAGCCTGTGTGAAAGTTACAGTTTGCATGGGTATTAAGCGAGGCTAACTCTCTTGTTTGGCGGGGATAGGGCAGGTTGCTCATTTAGGTAGGGTTAAGCAATGAGCACCCTGAGCGATTGGGCATAATGGAGGGTGTGTTCTGAACTGGCCATCACTTGCTGGATGGCGGGATGGGGCTTGGGAAGGAGACCCTTTGGTGCTGAGCAACATCTTCCCAGACCTTGTAGTGACTTAACGGTGCATCAGGGTAGGGGGCTGTGCACTTCTCAGCACTCTATATGCGGGCAAGGATAAACAAGGCCAGCGGTAGCTGCTGGCTGAGATTGGGACCAGGGTGGATTTGCTAGAACAAAGGCAGCCATGGACAGGCTGCCTAGAGCAGCCTGCCCTCAATTAAATATCAGCATAATTAATTGATGACACAGATCAGCAGAGTTGAATAAATTTAAATAAACTAGTTGGACCCACACTGTTGTCTTGAGTCGTCATTTGGGTACTGGGGCAAACAGCAACAGCCTGAGACATAATCAACACTGTAGACATTCATAGGTTTTAGACGATGACTGAATGTTTACTTAATGAGTACTGACAGCAGGCACTAGTTCCTTCTGCTAAATGTAGCAGCTGTCAAAGATTATTCAAGGACTTGTGTGCTGCTTTGTAGAACATAAGAGCAAGAAGTCAGAAAATTTATAGAGCAGAAAGCATTTAGTTCATCTTTTTTGACAAACACCAAGGTAAAAGTCTTACCTTTCCTTCCTTGATTTTTGTCCCAATTATCTGACGTCTTTGTTGGATTATTTCAATAAGCAGGTCACATTCCTCCATCAGCTTGGTTTCTTGTCGGGATGCGTTCACCTAAAGAGTATGTCAGACTTTTTTGAAAAAAGGTTGCTCAACTTTACCTCTATCTGAGATTATTTTAAACTTTTTAAAAGTTTAATATTTAAAAAAATGCATTTCTTCTCAACTATAGAAATCCAACCCATATTATTTCATCATTTTTGGTCTCTCTGTCCCATTTGCCATCTAAATCACAGTTTCATACACTCTAAAATCTTCTACACAGAGAGATCAAATGGAAGAAATAATGTATAATCTACAGTTATGTTGGTGCGTGCCACTACTGATGGCTGGCCAAAAATATACTATCATAATTGCATGGATCATCATTAGGAAAAGGTGTCTTGCAGCAAAGTTACCACACATCACTCCCCTCCCAGTGACTGTGTCCACAGGGCTATCACAGAGGATTTTTCAATGTATCTAATACTCAACATGGAAAAAATAGCAGCTTCAGAAGGCAGACTCTATAATATACCACAGGATTTAGTTGAAATACCCCACAGACTCCACCCCCAAATTTCCAGAATTTCCCAGACCAGAGATGGTCAGGGAAGGTTGGTAGGTGTGAAGGAAGCAGGGGACAGGGAGAGGATGTTAATACTGCCAAGAGGAAGGAAAGAGGAAGTAATGTGGGGAGGGGGATACAGGTGAAAGTGAAGTGCCTCCTCTTTCTACAAGTCCTTGCAGGTTCCTCAGTTATATTTTATAAGCTTTCTGTTTCTCAGGCTCCCAATGCTCCCTTGCCTGTACTATTTTAGTTTTCCTTAGTCATCGTATGTGTTTTCCCCCAATGCATCTATTTTCTTCATGACTGCTAACTTCCATATATCCCCTTTCTGCCCATCTTTCTATTCCACCCAACCTAGTAACCATCTTTCCCCCTTTTTGTGTCAACTATTTTGTACACAGGCACAATAACTGCTGACTTTCCTCAAAAACGTGCACTGTTTGCCAATAAACTGACAGCTGACATTCCCTAATGTCTGTGAGTGGTGAGCATGTTTGTAAATATATCCACGTGGACATCAGGATAGGAAAAAGACTGACAGGGAACAGCCCTTTTAAATTGTGTGCACATATAATTGCAGTATATCGCTTATATCCAGGGAACTGCAAAGAGATCTCATTCATAGAACATTAAATTGCTGCCTCTTCATTCTTGCTATAGTCCCCTGAGCACTCAATAAAACAAAACATCCACCACCACCCCCGCCCCTGAGTGCAGGGGCTTTTCAGTTTGGAGACCTGAGCCAGGGGCTTTTCAGTTTAAGGGGGAAAAAAAGATTAATGTTGGGTATGAGAGAAGTATATAAATGTATGCATGAGTGGGAGAAATTTAATGGGGGGGGGTGTCTCCTGCCATAATACTAGAAGTTGGGGGAGCCCAATGAAGTAGGCAATAAATTCAGAATGAACCGAAGGAAACTTTTCTTTCTGCGATTAGCTGTAGCAATTGCCATGAACACAGACAGTTTTTAAAAGAGATTAGATAGATTCATGGAGGAGTGGTTCATCAGTGGCTACAAACCCTAGTGTCTAAAGGGAACCTCCACATCCATAGACAGTAAACCTCTAAATATAAGTGCTAGGTGTAACTCTGTTTAGAATTGTATTGCTAATATGGCAAAGAAGATATTTTTGTTATTCACATTAGTAAGTTTGCACTGAAGTTTTCAGGTTGCTGATGAACAATTGAAACCAAGTAACTCCAGCTCTGTTATTACGAGCCTTTGAGATAGTTGATCAATCACTTCCACACCTAAAGGGAATCCATCCAGCCCCAAATGTACTTCCACAATTTGAGATATTGAGACACCTTTGGGTAGTGAAGGGCGGGGTATAAATCCAATCTCTTCTTCTTCTTCTTCTACTTAATTAATCTCATTATGTCCCCAGATCTGATGAGTCACATCAGGAGCAGAGTTGGTCAAGGTAGACTTCAATTGACTTAGAAAGATGCAACTGTACAAAGGATTGCACTGTAGATAGACCAGCAGATGGATGCAGTAGGGATTTTCTTACGTTCTTGTGCAAATTTAGCAATTCCTACTATTTTAGGAAATAAGTGGAAAATCTCCTAAAAAGATATTTCCCAATAAACATCAAGAAATACTATGTTCCTTTAGCTGAGAAGATATAGGTGCTGTTTACATTCACTGGGAACTGTGATCCAACAGTGTGAGTTTTATATGCAGCCTACGACAAATACAAGCTACTTGCAAAAGTGTGTTCAGGGCTGTTGCATTATAATGACTGGTAAGTAGCATCAATGAACTACAAAATTATTCTTTTCAACCTTTTTCTCACTTAAGTTCATACATGCTATTGAGTTCAAAGTCTAAAAATCATGACAAATGTAAGATTTCCAGAGTGTGTGTAAAGAGCTGGAAGACATGAACCCATCCATTTTAAAGGAGTAAAAAGAGCCAGCTTGTTCTGCTACACCACTACCAGTGTAATGTGTTTTGACCTTGGCCTAAGCTGAAACTAGAGCCTAAATCACACATGTGCACACACATGCACAACAGTATGATAATTTCAAGGATTCATGCAGATGTTTGGCAAAGAGCTTGCCAATTCAGATAGATACTGAGGATTGCAACATGATTTTCCAAGCCATTTAATGTGGCAAAAGAAGAGAGTTTTTATTATTCAAATCCATTAGTAAGTTTGCACTGAAGTTTTCAGGTTGTTGAAGAACAACTTACACATAGTAAATCTAGATTACACCTAGAAACTCATTCACATGTTTCAGAAAGTGCATTTTTACCAAAGCATAAAATGGGATACAGTAGTAGAATCTTCTGAGAATCAATGGCATATTTATCACTGAGGAGAATGCTAATGGTTCTTGAGATCCAAGAGAAAGAAAGACACTATCCTGACAAGCCCACTGGTGAAAAATAAGGTGGGATCTAAAATAATTCTGCTCAAAATCTTGGAAGAATATGAAGAAAGTTCTGGACAAGTCCTTCTGCTTAACCTTGACAAAAATATATTGGTACAAATGCATGCATTTGTTGTGGTGAAGCACCTCACCTCCTTGGTTTAAACTGAGCAAGACAATATTCAGGAGATGGCTTTCTATATGAAATGAGCCTCTAGCTCCATCAGCAATCATACCCGGCAAGTTACATTGTTGATTTGTAGTACTGTGGTGAAGATAAATCCAATTCTGTTTCATACCCAACTCTATTAGGAATAAATTACTTATGTCCAACCCTCTAGGTCTTCGGATACAAACAAGACTCTTCTCAATGTAGCTGTAATTTCACCTAGACAAGATTATTTTCATACAAAACCTAGTCTGACCATGTGCATTCTCTAATGCAGAGGTATCGAATTCATTTGTTACAAGGGCTGGATCTGATATAAATGTCATTTTATTGGGCTGGGCCATGGGTGCCATAAACATAATGCCAGATACCGGAGATATAAACTGTATAAAGGACAACAGCTGGTAAGCTGAGTTGGTGTGTCCTCACTGCAAGGCCCCACGGGCTGGGAGAGGGTGCAAAGGAAAACCCATATGGGCAGACAGGACAGCCAGTGTTGCAGCACTGGGCAGACCCTTCCATGTTGCTTGACTGCTGCAGATGAGGTTGTTCTGCCATGCTGAAGTCATAATCGTAGCGGCTCTGCCTGCTCTCCCACAAACATTCTCCTCTTCCCTCACTTGCACTAGTTGCTCGCGGGCCGCATAAGAGCCCTGGACAAGTTGGTTCTGGCCCCTGGGCCTTATGTTTGACACCCCTGCTCTAATGCACTTTGGGACGACATTGATGTGGTACAGCTAAGATTTGTTCAGTTTTTTTGCCCATGGTAAAACCAACCATTGTTTAATTGGTCCTAAATGGTGGATTTTACAAATAAAAAAATCGGAACCTCAAATAATCATATAATTAACTCTGAGAACAAGTATGTATTTATTTATGTATTGTATTTTTATACAACCCCAATCATCTTAGGATGGTATATACATGTGATCTTTTTTATCCTCATCACATCCCTGAGAGTTAGGTTAGGATGAGTAACTAGTCTGAGAATACCCAGCAACTTTCTGGCTCAGCTGAGATTTCGACACTGATCTCCATGATCAACATTCAATACCTACACTATATATGCACATGTAAAGAACGGCTCTTTCTTTCATCCTGTAACACAACCGCAGGGAACTTTTAATTGAACCGAGTCCTGTTGTTGGGGATGGAACAGAAAAGAAGCTGTTCAAAATATCCTTTGCTCTTGGCTGCTTTTCTCAATGACTTATGCTTTTTACTTCTTGAAGACACAGTAAACTGTATGCAACCAAACAGTTGGTGGGAAAGCCTTTCTTCATTGTCCTTAAGCTTCACTAGATGACACATGTTATATCAGTATTTCTTTGTAAATTCTGCTGTATGTACACAAAATGTGTAATATGTAAATTTCTAATAATATGCCTTTAAGAAAAATATAGAATGCTTGTTTGCATTAAAACCAAATGTATGTGATAACCTAATTAATCACATGGTTATAATTGACGGAACATCACATGGTTTCCATTGCTCACATTATTAACTTGGTAGACAAATGCCTCAAATCCTCTCTTAAGATTTACATTGTATACAGAAATCACTAATTACTGCATCAGTATGAATTGCATTTCCTTCAGGAATTTTTTCCCAGCTTATTAGTCTGCAGATAAAAATCTCAATTATGTCCAGGACTAAAGGCAAGGAAGCGAGACAAATGTTAGCTAATTGTTCATAATCAAATGCTTAAGGGAGATGAGGGAGGGAAAATGTAGCGTCTAACTGTGGGTATTAAGAAGAATTCATCAGCCTTGTTTTTTGCTCTCATATGGTCCCTCCAAGATCTCGCAAAACATGCCATATTAATTCTTTTGTCTTTTCTATTTTGATTTTATTTATTAATTTAACTAAATTAAGTAATTAATTCATTCATTTGATACATTCTATATAGCTGACCTTGGTTTATAGAGTACTAAATTAGTTCCTTCACAGTATGTA